TTTTAGAGACCTGATCTTGCTGGGTTGCCCAGTCTGGTTTTGAACTCGTGGCCTGAAGTGATCCTCCCATCTCAGCCTCCCAAATAGCTGGGACTACAGGCACATGCCACCGCTAATTTATTTTATTTTATTTTTTGTAGAAACAAGGTCTTACTTTGTTGTCCAGGCTGGCCTGGTGTCAAACTCCTGGCTTCAAGCGATGCTCCTCCCTCCGCCTCCCGAAGTGCTATGATTACAGGCATGAGCCACCACGCCCAGCCAGACACATCCTCTTTTATTTGCACGTCTGAGTTCTAAGCATTGTTTTCTTTTGTTTGTTTTTTTTGGTTTTTTTTTTTTTTGAGACGGAGTCTCGCTTTGTCACCCAGGCTAGAGCTCAGTGGTGCAATCTCAGCTCACTGCAATCTCCGCCTCCTGGGTTCAAACGATTCTCCTGCCTCAGCTTCCTAAGTAACTGGGATTACAGGCACGCGCCACCGTGCTCGGCTATTTTTTGTATTTTTAGTAGATACGGGGTTTCACCACATCGGCCAGGCTGGTGTCAAACTCCTGACCTCAAGTGATCCGCCCGCCTCTGCCTCCCAAAGTGCTTGGATTAACAGCGCTGAGCCACCGCACCCGGCCTCCCAAAGTGCTGGGATTACAGGTGTGAGCCCCCATGCCCGGCCTAAGCCTTGTTTCTGCACCATGGTATGCCCCGGTCATTTCCTTACCCCAGTGGTAGCATGTGTCCAGATGTTGGCTGCAGTCCCCCTTGTCTGCAGGCATTTCTGTGAAACTGCCCAAGAGTGAGTTTTCCCATCTTGAGTCACCTGCCAGTGCCCTTCAGTAGAGTCACCAGCTCACATGCAGCGTCTGCCTGGGTCCTTCGGCTTCCACTCGCGTGGATGATAGGGGGGTCTGGAAATCCGCCATCGTGTGTGGGCAGAAGTGTTGGCGTTTTGATTCTGGGTAGATTGAGGATGTTTTCATGTGCTGTTGTTCATACTTTCCCTGGATTTCTAACAGGTTTTGCTTTATATTTTACTTTGCATTTTTGGTGTTGGTGTGTTTCCTTGGGAATGTTAGTGAAAAATTGACTTTAAAATGTCTACTTTGTTATCTGTATTTCCCTGAGCTGAGGGTTCTGCCTCGTCCCACTCTTTGTTTGCATCTGCTTGGTCTGTCTTTGCCATTTCTTTGCATTTTTGCATGGTTTTATTTCTGCAAATTTTAATTATTAATGGTAATTAGTTGACAATAATAGCCTTTATTATTTTTATAGTAGTATCATACTTTTTGTTATATTATTTCTTTAAAAATTTGATTCCTACCAAAAGACTTCCGTGGAGAAGCCACAGTTCCCTTTTTATTCATTCCTTGTCCTGCTCCTCCAAGACAAGGCCTGGCCTGTTTCTGTTTCCGCTTCTGGTGGTTCTCTCGGAGTCTCAGAATAACACACGCACCACTTTTCTTGGGCCCCTGACTTCCCACTATGCCAGCCGGGCCAGCTCATTGCCCTGGCACCTCGGCACTACTCCTGTTGCTCAGGGTGCCTGCCCGCCTTCAGAGCTCCTCCGGACTCCTGTCCCCTGCCCACTCCCGGCATCTGCCCAGGCTGCCTCGTTGGGTCTGTTCTGGAGGCCTCCTGACTCGTTTTGTGGGACGGCTGACCTGCGGTCAGGCTGTCCCTGGGATTCTGTAGACCTGGCACAGGAGAGTGCTGAAGGGCTGACTCTCCTAGGCCTGGGCGTGTGCTGCAGGCAGGAGAAGCAGGCTGGGGCCACCTTCGCGTCAGGAGGGCCCACCACGCTGGCCTCCACTCTGCAGTGGCTGATCTGGGGGGGCCTGGGGCCAGGGCAGGGATGGCCCCGCGGGAAGGGAATGGTATTGTGCTGACGGTGACTGTGGGCATGGCTGCTGCTGTCCGTGCTGCCACAGCTCCCACGCCCCACCTCTCCTGCGCCTGTGTGTTCAGGCAGAGTGCCCAGAGCTCTGTTATGTGGGGGTCTCTGCCACAGGGGTCAGGCCCACCCTAAGCGCTGGTCGGGTGGTATCTGAGTGGGGCGGGTAGGGCAGCATGGAAAAGGCACGGAGCTGTTGTTACATCAGAGATGGTTGGTTTCTTAAGTTGAGTGATGGGCATGTGGAAATATTAGCATGTTATTCTCTTTCTTTTCATTTTCTTTTTTTGTTTTCTTCTTGAGACAGGGTCTCGCTCTGTCGCCCAGGCTGGAGTGCTGGGATCACAGGTGCAGACCATCACGCCAGGCTAATTTTTAAAATCCTTCGTAGAAATGGGGTTTTGCTGTCTTGCCCAGGCCAGTCTGGAACTCCTGGGTTCAAGAAATCCTCCCAGCACTTTGGGAGGCCGAGACGGGCGGATCACGAGGTCAGGAGATCGAGACCAGCCTGGTTAACACGGTGAAACCCCGTCTCTACTAAAAATACAAAAAATTAGCCGGGCGCGGTGGCGGCGCCTGTAGTCCCAGCTGCTCGGGAGGCTGAGGCAGGAGAATGGCGAGAACCCGGGAGGCGGAGCTTGCAGTGAGCTGAGATCCGGCCACTGCACTCCAGCCTGGGCGACAGAGCCAGACTCCGTC